CTACTACTACTACTACTACTACTACTACTACTACTACTACTACTACTACTACTACTACTACTCTCAGCCCTGACCCAGCGCAGAGGGGTCACAAAAACACTATTTCCTGTGTAGGCTTCCGGGAGTACCACGTACAGACACGTATATTCTATGCAAATGCGGCGATGTAAAAGGTAATGAGCATGCGGAAAGAAAGAAAACAATGACGGATTAGTTGTTTGGTCCGCGCACGCCGTACTTAGTTTTCTGAAGGTTGCTGGCACCAGGTACCATCTCATGCTTCTTGTCTTTGTGGAATTAATTATCTGCTGTAATTCATTTTTTGCTATTGCTAAATTCAAGAAAAAATGGTTTAGGTTTAACGCCCCTATCAACACCATTATTAGGTTATTTAAGAGGCGCGTGACCTCCTAGTTTAACGCCCATTCCCGAAAGGACAGGGCCACGTGGGAAATTTGTGAAAGTACCTTTCCCAAGGACACAACGTCTGACCGAGCTGAGACTCGAACCCCCTACTCGCAATTTCATTATTACAGGTCCGGTAGTCAAACCACTAGGCTGCCGACGCCACTCTAGATTTAAGGCCCAGAGAGATCTTAAATGAATTCCTAACGTAAAAATTCTGAGAAACAGAAGAAAATAACGTAACAGTCTCTGAATGTGATCTATTTCAAAAGAAGTTTACTTTGAGCCAGACGGAATGATCAGTCCATGGATAAATCAATCATCAGTCTATCAAGTACTCACTCACCTACCTATTTACATACTCTACTATCTTTATGAATCAATTGGTTCACCAATTTTCTATTATATAAATCAGTCAATTAGGTGGTAATAAGTCAGCAAACCAACTGCATACAGGATCAGTGAACCAATGTACAAATCAATCGATCCTTCAATCAATGAATTAGTATAATAATTAAATACGAAAATCAGCCAATCAACCAAATTAAAGATAAACCAATTTATTAATCAATCAATCAATCATCCATTCAACCAATCAATCAACCAACCAACCAACCCGCCAACCAACCAACCAATCAACCAACCAACCAACCAACAAATCAATCAATCAATCAATCTATCAATCAATCAATCAATCAATCAATCAATCAATCAATCAATCAATCAATCAATC